AATTTTTTATTTTTGTAGCAAAGGGGGGGGGAGGGTGGGGGGGGGGGGGGGAGGGGGGGGGGGGGGGGAGAATGTGAAAACCAAATAAATAAATAAAAGCAATAATAATTTTATAATCTCCAAAATTTTGATGGTGAATCTTAAAGGGCAAATTAAATATTTGGAGGTCCTTTTAATTAATTTTAAACCTAAAATAAATTTATGGTGAAAGTCTTTAATTTTAAGGCAAGATTTTTTATATAAAAAAGGGAAAATATTAGTAAGTATATGTTGATCTAATAATAGTTGTATTTTATTTAAATTAATGGAGAGAGAAAATATAATATAACAAAGGATAATTATTTAGAGTCTTTTATGTTATGTATAACAAAGGTGAGAGAGAGAGAGAGAGAGAGAGAGAGAGAGAGAGAGAGAGAGGAGGGAAAACAAAGCTTTAGTGCTTCTAACAATTTCCCTAGCAGCAGTAGCCGTGAGAGAGAGAAGAGAAACAAAAGATTAAAATTAAGGAAGGAATTGGATGTGTTGTGCTGTGTGGGATCATCAAAGGATAGCCCCCCTAGGTTTTCTTCTCTGCTTTCTTTGTTCTTTATCCTTATTCTATTATTATTTAGTTCTTTAATGGAGAGGTTGTAGGTGTATGTATTTTGTATATATATATATATATATACTGTTAAGAAATTTGAGATACAATTGTGTGTAAAGAATGGGTGTAATTCTTAGTCCGAAAATTCTACACACAAACATAAACTTTAAAAATCGAGGAATCATATCAAAAGGATGAATTTTGAATTGAAATTTTTACAATACATTAATTACATATTCAATTGCATACCAAAATTTTCTTATAATTTTTGTAAGTCAAAATCCATATAAACTGATGCATTCAAATCTGTCCAGGAAACTAATACAAAATAGTAACTTTGGAAGTGTCATTCTCTTTGGTATAAATCTGAAAATTATCAAATCAACGTCATTAGAACCGGTTATGAATCTAGTTTCTTACATTTTTGGCCTTGCGTTGATTTCTTGGGTATACTAAGAGAACCCATAATTTCTTTAAAGTGCTGCAGAAAACCACCTGTTTGGATATAATTAATTGTAAATAATTATTTTGAAAAGCAAATCAAGTAAAACCAATTAGGTCTGAAACTTAGGATACGCCAGTTGATATCTGTAGGGTTTTGGAATTTTTTCTAACAGCGTGGAGTGGGTTTTTAATTTTTAACTTTAGCAAATAGATTGGGAAAACTTGTTTAAAATTTTGTTTTATCTTAAAGTTACTTTTAATTAAGTTTCGATCTAAACCCATGTCTTGGGTAATTTTAGACCTTGAAGAACATGATCTTAGGTACAATTTAATAGTAACGGTGAGTTGGGTTGAGCCGTGATAGTGTGATTTAGCTTGGGGTAACTTAGTTTCTTATTTTTTTTTAGTATTTTTGAGTTACTAGTGACATGTAGTTTTTGTACTTGGTTCAAGACACTAGTTGGACTTTCCTATGTGGTTTGAGGATTATATTATACTGTGTTTAGGTGAGTAGTTTCGTGCTACATATTTTTATAAATGTTCTCCTACCTTAAACTGTTGGAAAATTAAATTGTAATTTCAGGACTAAACTGTTTTGATAAATTATTATAGTATCAATGGAATTAAATTATTTCTGAAATATGTGTAAACTTGGCATACTGTAAACTATTTATTACGGTCTCATGTTTAGAACAGTGAACTATCATGTTTTGTGAGACTGAAACAAGAGGTTATATGCGCTGCTCAATGGCTTCTTGAACTCATTCACCATCCATAAAAGAATCTCTCCATTCTGAGTGCAACTTGAGATGAAGCAATAGAAGGAATTTGACCACAAGACACATTAGGGAATAGCCGCAAACTTGTTGTCTTTTAGGTTATGTTTAGATTAAGAATTTCAAAAGTGATTCACAGAGAAAAAAAAAATGGCAAAAAGAAAAATCAATGAAATGTATGTTCAATTTTTATCACATTTTTTTATTTCCTTTACCTTTACCTTCCTCAGATCTTAAATCCAAAGGCTGCCACCATGAACAAGGGGTGAAAAACCCATGAATGGCTAAGAAAGAACAACAAAGGTCCACCATCTGATGCTTCCCATTGCGTGCTTGATGTAGAGCACATGGATAAAGTTTCAACATTGCAATAGCCGCAGCAACGGGAATCTTCTTCTCTTTTTCTTTTTTTTTTCCCACATACATTTTAGTGGGAAAAAAATGACATTATTTTTTTTGTTCATATTAGGGGTGGGCAAGCATCCATCCAATCTGTCAAAATCAAATGGTCCAACTCGATCCGCTACAAAATGAATAGTTTCAACAGTTTGAGTGGATGGATCTGGATGAATTTTTCTCAATCTGTCTAAGTTCAAACGGATGGTGAATGAGATCCAACCCGATCCACCAACACTCTTAGGAAAATGAAATTATGCTTTGTGTGTTAAAAAC